CAATGCAGCAAAAGCGTTGCTATGCAAGTCCTGCAGTTTCTTTTTTCTAAGCAACAGACATTATGTGATATTGGTGAAGTAAGTGACTTTGATTCAGAGAAAGCATAGTTGCTAGATTTGATTCTAGGTGAGTCACGCTTCAGGAACACCAAATGAGTGATTATCCATAGTAGATGAAATCCAGGAGAAAGAAACCACATCTGCTTTAGCTTTTAATAATGTGTGCTTTTACTAGAAGGAGAAAACCAGCATACTTCCCACAGACCAAGGTGCTACAACATCCCTCTGTGCACATATGCATACACTTCTGCACTCGTTATCACCTCTTCTTGAGAAATTCCATCCTAAAAGTTCATCACTACAGATTTCTGTAGCATTAAATGCAGCAGACAAGGTAGCCAAGACCCATCACAGATCAGGCTACTATAAATAGCATGCAAAACAAAAGCTCATCACTTAGTCCATTTGGGGCTGCTGATGGGATAGGCTGCACCTGACTATTTCCCACCCAACCCAGGGAGGCCCCACCTTACTTCTAGCTTGGCTATTTGCTATGGAGATCATCAGTGTGGCCTGATCTGATTTTTACACTCTTTCCAGGTTCTTGATTAAGTGCTTCACAGCAGCTAGTGCCAGCCAGCCCGTGCCACCATCTGTCACTTATCTGGCTGCAATGAAACCCGGGAAGTGTCCTGCCAAGGACAAGTTGGATTTCCTCAGCCCGGACATTTACACAGAGGCCTATCAACATGCAGCAATCAGGTCAGTGAAATACATGAAGTATTCAAAGTATTCAATACAAGGAAGAAATACAGCTTCTTCCTTGCTTTAAAGAGAAGTAAAATAATAAATTCCATAAGAATTGGAACCATCTATTCTTGGAAAGCGAGACTTAACCCCTCCCACAGGATTAATAGCCATGGCAGATGTTTAATAGGAAACTTTCATATTCAGAACATCAAACGTTCGTAAGCCATGTGCTACATAAAAACTGTATTCCACAGAGAGCTGATTCTATACAAAGCTGATGACACTGTTCAAGTAAATCCCAGATCACATTAGCGAGTCGCCAACCTTTAGGCAATTGGACTTTGTGCCATTCTATACAACAAGTTAAAATCTCCCTTGCCCGAGAGAGTGATGTTTGTGTTCAATTAATAACACAGCAATCACAGAGCCTTTCATTCCATCTGTAGTTTTTCAGCTACTCATTCAACTATTCAACACAATTAAGATTGGCAGTGAACGTGGTCTGGTAAGAATTATGGATCATAGAGGTGTCATCTCTGAAGACCAGGTAAACAGATGCACAGTTCTGCAGTCAGTCACAGTGGCAAAAAGGAGAGCCATTATTCTGAAAGCTTTGGTGAAAGCTCTGTTTAGAAAGACAGTAAAACAATATAACATCAGTCTAATATTACTGTTGGTTCCTTTTGTTTTGCTAGCTCTCCTTAAACAAAACCTAAGAAAAACTCTAGAGGCCTCTAATGAACTGTAATGGAAGCTGAAGGCAGAACTCCCTTAGTACTTGAATGGTGTGGGTGCTTCTGCCTGGTTTGTACTTTGGTTTTCCATAAGAGTTCCATCACACTGAGCCAACTTTAAATATCAAAACGCCATTTTGCCATGTGATCACACACAAGTCTGAGTATGAAACGAGTGCATTGTGGACTGCTATCTTTATATTCAAATGTGTTTTGGATTTTGTTTCCAATTTTCCAGACTGATAAGCAGCGCAGCAGCTAAACTACAGGACTTGATTCAGTCAGGAGTCGAAAGGCACGAAGCGTGGAACCAATGCACAGTGCAGCTGGTACAGGCTGCAAAGGTTAGCAACGTTTTTGTGCTCATCTGACATTTGTTGTTAGGATACAGTATGCAGTGGAAACAGCACAATTAGCCTAAAAACATCTCATCGCTTTTTAATGATGTGTGTCCCCATACAAGGGACACCACAAAGATCAGGGCCCCACTGTGGTCTGCACGGTAGAAAATCATACTAGGAAACAACTCCTGATCTGAAGACTTGGCTATCAGACTAGCCGAGGTAGAGGCTAAAGGATAGAAACAAAAAGCTGCCACCAGCACCTTCCACAGCCTGCAATCACAGCATACCATCTCCAGCTAATGCTCATCTTTTTTTACAAGCAGCCTGTATTTCTGGCTTTCAGTTGAAAGCCTCCCCAGTGCCATCCTTCTAAAAGCTGGAAGAGCCATCGTAAGGGTGAAACATGCTCTTTTTTTTTTTATTTTTTTTTAAATCTATGCTCTCACAAGGAAAGATAAAAGTAGGGATAATAATTAAGAGTGGTGATAAGTGCAGTCTTAATTACTGCTGGAAGAAATCAAAGTAGTGAAGTCAAATAAGAGACCTAAAAGCAGTTCCTAGTTCACATAGATAGATAGGCAATCTGCTCTTCTTCAGCTGAAATAGGATCAGGACAACAGTATTAGTTTGCCAAAACAAGGAATTAATATAGAACTGAGCAGAAAAGAAAGCAAGAGGGTAGAAGGGCCCTAAATATAAAGGAAAGCCAACATCACTAATACTTCAGTAACTCCAGGAAGCAAAATTCTTTTTTAATGTGGTTATGTGCAATTTGACTGCAATTATGGTAGAAGTCTCCCTTCCTTTCTAAACTGAGGAGGGTAAGATTTTGAAACAGATCCATGGCTTATTTCAGCCTCATTCAATGTTTAATGAAAAACATCTTGTTGTAACCTAGGCTTCAGCCAGAACCAACCCTAACCTAAATGGACTGAGAAAGAAGTCCCCCAAGGGAAGGAGGAACCCTACATATACCTAAACACAGCAATAACATCTAGATAATTCCACAGTAGGAAGGTGCCTGAGGGAACAGCCACCTACTACTCAGTCAATAAGATGAAGTCTTTGATGAGCCAAATTTTCTCAGCAAAAAAAAGTGAAATTGTTTCAAAACTATTAGAAGTATTGATTCTGTCATGCTCATAAGCACAGTTAATCTTTTCAAACAAGAACTGACTGAGAAAGTGAGCTGGTACTACAAGTTCTCAGTAACAGCGTTATTTGTGATCACCTGTCTGCTGTGTCACTCCTGATTTTCAATTACACAGACTCAGTGGAAGCAGCAAGCATCAGTGCTGTAAGTCTAACAGAAAGTGAAAAGAAAAAAAAAAGCAGAAGAGGAGGAGGAGAAGCAAGGCTCTTTAGAAGGAAACTATTTCCAAAGAGCTTAATACCCAGAGAGGGGATCTGGGCCCCCACTGCTTCTTGGATACTTCAGGGAAAGTAACAAAATCTTGTCTCCACCATAGCTTTAAAATCATGACAGCCTGCTGCTTTCTTGGGGTGCTTCTGTATTTGCTTTCTACTCTGTTTGCTTTTTCTGGAGACTCATTGCTGCCCTGGCAGCTCTATGAACAAAAGCCTGCCAGCTTTCAGCCAGGTGGCTCAGACACCAGTGATGGCTTTGCTGCAGTCTCCACAGATTTTAATTGCTTGAGTAGACACCCAGCTTCTCAGGCAGGTTCTGCAGTCTGCGCTGACCTCCACGCTGCTTGACCATGCTGCAGTGCAGGCGTGCCTTGCATACACCCACAGCTGGGAGGAGAAATGTAGAGCAGAGGAATGAAGCTGTGCAGACACCAACACCACTACCCACTTGGAGGAGTATCAGCATAACAAGAGTCAGCCCCACAAACAGGTGGAGTCATCTTGTTTCACTCACTCTGGAGCTAGGCTGTGCTGAGCTTAGTATTTCTGTAAGTGAGCAGATACTGCCAGTGTCTGACCCAGAAATCATCAGTTTACTTAAAACAGCAAAAACAGGAGGTAAGTTGGATTGTCCTTCCACTGACGGTGTTTTCAAAGCTGAAGCCATATAGTCACTGACTCCAATGTACCATAAGCCCAACAGAGAGATTTTTCTTCTGCTATATATAACCAAAGTTCACTTGGTAGAGATTGACACAAGCACATTCCAAAGCATTTCCATCATGTAAAAAAATCTTTGGGGTATTCATCAAAACTATGTGAAGTACTGCCATGATTTCTTGAGTTTACACATACCAGCATTGACTGCTTACACTCCCAATCCTTTCCTCTACTGTTTTAGTAAGACATGAAAGCAGAACGCTTAGTCAACCAGCGGACAAGGGATACAGGCTGGAAAACTGCCAGTGAAATGAAAAGGTTTTATGTTCTTTGTGAGAACGTTTGCGTCACTTGGCCTACTAAAAGTGTTTAGAGGTGCATTCACTGTTGATTGTATTTGTTTTCCAGGCTCACTGCCACTACATCACTGTGAAAAACTTTGTAGAGACTGTGGAAAAACTTGAGAACACGGCCGGCATCCAGAACATTATGAAACATCTTTGTGATCTGTTTGCATTACACGGTATCTTCTCGAATGCGGGAATTTTCCTGCATGATGGATATTTAACTGGAGCTCAGATGGACATGGTCACAGCATCATACCTGGAGCTCCTGGGGATCATTCGGTGAGCCGTTCTTGCACAAGAAGATCACAGCTATTCAGTTTCTCTGTGCATTAAATATAAAATGGTACTGCTGTACCTATGGCAACATGTTCAGTCAATTCACCTCATTCAGTTTTTATTTTCCTTGCCTGGCAGCATTAGAAATTGACTAAAACATCTACACAAAGCTCATTTTCAGAGCAAAATAGATTTAAGATTCCAGCTCCCATGCAATTACTAGATTAAAGTTCAGTAACATGAAATCCTGAGGTATAAAGCAAGAAAACCTGAATATACCATTTGCAGCAAAGCAAAAGCAGGAAAATACCCAATCAGAACATCACTTAAAGGAAACAGCAACAACAACTCATTATACACTGCTAAGTCTGCTTTCGCTGCACTAATATAGCCTACTCTGTTGCCATGGCTGACTTGCAACAGGTACCTAAACAGTTCTGACTACAGCCAGATCAGATGCATCTGCTCAACACCATTCATTACTAACGTGGCTTCTGAGATATGCTAAGGTTTTAACTTACCACAGCACTCACAAAGGCTTTTTCACTACTCACTGCTGTTAAGAGCAGATTAGCTTCTGATGCAGAGAAGTGAGAAGTGTGTGAAATCCTACTTAGGTCACCTGGAGAGAAACAGGAACACACCATAACCAAGAGTTGAACGGGACCAAGCAAGTATATTTGGAACTAATCACAGAATTAAAGTGGTAACAAGCTTAAGACTTTTACTCAGAGCTTTAACAGAACATGTCTCTGAGGAATCAAAGCAGAGCTTCCTGTGCAACGCAGACAAGGGGAAAAACTGGCACAAGCATTTCAGACGAAGGAACTTGCATAGCTGACTTTCACATTTCTCTTTTTTCATCTACTCCTTAGGAAGGATGCTGTTCCACTAGTGGATGCTTTTGACTTCACGGACAAGAGCCTGAATTCTGCACTTGGCAATTACGACGGACAGGTCTACCAGCGGCTTTATGAGTGGGCTCGGAAGGCACCGACCAACAAGCAGGTATGGATGCTGGATTACAGCCAGGCAAACTCTGTATGAGCCAGAACAGAAATAGTTTGCTTTTCTTCTAAGAAAAGCCATGTGGATATAAGCAATTGGAGTAAGACATCTTATCTGTCATTATCTCACTCTGAACAGTGAACCCTGATTCTCGAATTATTCCTCCTATAGCCCTAGGTCAGGCAGGAAGTAGCTTGTGGGCTAGATGGCAATGAACCACAGCTTGAGCAAGGGAGCTGGACCAGCCCCAGTGACCAGTGTGGTTTTGATTTAGATGTGTGACAGTGAAGTAGCACTGCACAAAGTAAACTACAACGAAAGCATGTTTACATGGTTAACACTATGGAACAACTCTAGATGGCTGCAAAAGCCACTAACTGTGGGATATTTTCCATTCACCAGTACTTTTTCCAAGCGCAGTACTTTTTTTTTTTAATAATATGCCCATCCAGAAAGAGAATAAATGTTAAATTAGGCAATTTCATCCTTTGTCTTTAAGATTTTACTTTCACTTCTTAATGCATCCATACTGTGGAGAAAAGTAAAATCCCTCATGATGCAAATGGCTGTTGCTCTGTTTGAAAACTCATTTTGCCTTAAGTGAAATTTTTACTGTGATAATCAGCAATTCCTTTGAAATACTACAGCTTGCCTTTAGCAAACGTTCCAGTTGAAGCACATTTTTTGAAGTTAAATACTATGCTGTCACATTTGGGATGAGAAGTATTGTGTACTGGTTACGAAGGACAGTGCACATTACAGGGGAAGAGACCTTGCACATAGCTGGTTACTGATGTGGCTTTTTTTAATATGATCTAGTTTCTGCATTTCAGAGATGAGGAAAACGAATGTATAACCTGCTCTTCCTCCTTAACTACCATTAATTCCCTTCCACATTCTCTTTCCAAACAGATAAGCCCAGCCTATGAAAAGTATTTGAAGCCACTTCTTCACAACAAGCTATCGAAATTATGAAGACTGTGACCCAAGTGAGGTCGCGCCCGCTCTCTGCAGCACTGCACTTATGAAGCACGAGTATTATTAATCAGAGATTAATCATCAGTTGCTTACTTGCAATTGCGACAAGTACGAAACAGAATCATTAGCCAGCCATTTGCATTTAATCAGAAAGAAGCCAAACAACTCTGAGTGGTACCCACTGTTCTGAAGCAGCCTAGTCAGAAATAGTCCTGTTTTTTGTTGTTTGCTTGCTCGTTGGTCCTTGCTTTTGAGGAACAACTTATTCTTGTAGATCAAGAAACGTGTTAGAAAATGTATTTGGAGAATGAAAAGAGCTCTGAACTTGCTCAGCAATCAAGTATTTCTGGCTCATGAAGAATCACACACAGCTGATGTCAACTCCTGCCTGCAAAGATTACTTTCCCATTAACAGAGTCATTCATACTGTCTTTTGATAAATCTTTGATTGCAATAAAGTCTATTTGGAATACTGCTTCCCTAGTTATTATACTTGATAATTACAAAAAGGTGAGGCTGATCCAGGCCCCTCATTAATTTGCTAGTAAATTAAGTGTTGCAAGGAACACCTTGTGACTGATTATAATGCAGTGACAACACAGATACTTTCTTACCAGCAGTTCTGCTGCACTTCATCAATTCAGCTTTTCTTTTCTGCTTTCAGAAGAATGAAGCTTTCACGATGTCTTAATACAAAAGTCAGAACCCCTAAAATGCATGAAAAGGGGAGATAAAATAGGGCAGAGGAAAATACCTTCAAACAGGCCTTCTGACAGAGAGCTGAGATGCAAGGCCCCAGGCTTCAGAAGGCTGCAACGACCTGAGGAACCCTGATCCCTCTGACATCTCCAAATAGTGACACTCCACACTTTAGGAAGCAAAGCAGCTGTGATAAGAAACCACTGTGACAAGAACTTGAAGGGAGAATGTGATCCATTCAGTCAAAATAAACATTGAATCTCTACTCTCAAGAGAATTAAGCTAGAACACAACCAGAAATTGTGAAAGTAACAGTGACACAGTGGCCAAGAGAAGCAGGAATGGCTACATGAAATTAGGTAAGAACACAGAATCTCAGTTCCTTGACTTGAACATATTGGAAACAGCACTCTGTAGTTAAAGACACAGAATCTTATTTGTATTACATATATAAAAATCCGTATGTGATATAAGCAGCTATCAGATAGATCATTAAAATGGGATAACAATGCAGCTACAAGTATTTTTAGGTGTTGTGTTCCCTTTATCTCTACAGAAAGTGCGAATCCTTGCCATCCCTCTGTTGGTCAAAATGCCTCGTTTTCCAAACACTTTTGTTTTCCTGTGATGAGGACAGCTTGATCAATTAGTTAAGACAAAAAGGAACAAAGTATGTCAGTAGTGAAAGAGAATGGAGCCCTAGCAAAGCATCTGTGCTATTCTGCAGCGCTGAAAAACAGCCTTTGGGGTTTTTATTAAGTATTAGAGTTCTAGAAGACAAAAAATACAAGATAGTATTCTATATTTCACATTTTTATTAGCTTCTTGCTGGCAGGCATTACACTTGGGAATAATATTGCACCAGGCATTAAAAATATGAATTCTACCACAGGGACATTTTGCATTCAGAATCCAATATAAATATTTCTAATCATATTTCCATGGCTACAGATAGTATTTGGTTGCTTGATTTATATGCATAGAAAGAAACAGTTGTCATAACTGTACGAAACTGTACTTATCAAGTACTTTTAAAGGGTGGGATTTTTTTTCCTAGAATATCACAATACTGTTTATTGATTTAGAAGCTAAATTAGTCTATGTGATAGCAGCCTTTCGCCATCTGCCTCTTAGATTCCGTTTGTTTCTTGCTCCCAGTGGCACAGGGTTAGATGGATTAGAAACCATTTAAACTGAGGTAATTTTAGCACTTTAAGTTGCGTCGGAATTGTGTTAATGACACAAAATACCCTCCTGCACTAATTCTTCGGACTCCCTCTTTCAAACAAAAAGGTGTCTTGACTGAACAGGCACATGCATGTTTTTATTCTGGATGAAAGGACAGAACTGCTAGAGAATGAAACTTCTCCAGTCCTTAATGATAAACAATAAATACTCATATATATATATATAAAAAAAAAAAAAGCCCGCAGTGTTACGTCAGCCAAAATCCAGACTCTCTTGGCTTTACTGTTCAATTAAGTCACTAATAACTGAAACGGCTCCTGTGGAGTCAGAGTCAGTCATCTGTTTTTCGTGCCAGTCTACAAAAAGTCCAGTTGTGCTCCACTGTGTTTTCATTGGCACGCTCACTCATGTGATGAACTCTGGTATTCCTGATCGTGAAGCCTTGCTTTGTGATGTACTCCATAAGATGCACTCTGAGAGACACTTCCTGGTGGTAATCGCATGGCCCAAAAGTGAAGGAAACCTGGCAGTCCCTGGTGTCCATCATATGCTTATTCCACTTCGTGAAGTGGTTTGAAATGCCTTCCAGTAACGAATGGACTTTCGTTGTGATGGTGAGCTGCGTGATGATCACAGCCACCGGGTTGGAGTACTTGGACAGCTTGCGGGTGCTGGAAAGCTCCACCACCTCCTCAAAGGTATCCACAGGATACAGAGGCTTGGGGTCGTTGAGACACTGAATCAGAGGTTCAATCTGATAGAAGTCCGCCTCCTTCCGAAGTAGGTCGAACTCCTTGAAGTCCAGTGGCAAAGTTAGCTCTGAGGTCCTTAAGAAGTTAAGAACGTAACGGAAAAGTGGTCCGTCTCTGTCAATGAAGTAATTGCCCTGAGAGTCCCTGGCAGTGGGGAAGTCTCCCCTGAACATGGCCCCAAGCATTGAGTCAGGATATCTGGTGAGAGTTGTGAGGGATGTCGTGTACATGTGTCCACCCACATTTAGCGTGACTGGATCAGTCATCTAGAAAGAGAGAAATCGCAGAGTTTATCAAGCCACGACAAGAAGGTTCACCAAGGCACATGGCAAATACTGCTTGAGAACTGGTGGCTCTGGAAGGAACCTCACTTCTCCCATTTGAAGTCTTTCAGTGATGTTTAAACCTGAACAAATCCAAGCCTAGCAACAAGGCACAGCTGACAGGATAACAACATTTAGAAAGCACATTTTGAGAATGCTTTAGAAATCTTAACAGGGCTACTGTCATAGAAGGCACTTTTGCACTTGAGGAACAAGTTTTTTCATATTTTACAGATGAGGAAATGAAATCAGAGACATTTCCTGAAGAACAAGTTTATGTGAATGAGGTCCATCAGTGCTCCTCGCTTTCAAAATCTCATTCAAGAATAACAGCAAATCAGCTGAACAAGTCTTAAGACTTTTTCACCCTCAAAAGAGGAAGACAGTACAAGTTTAGGCACAAGACAAAGAGCTCACAATCAAAATAATCCATGCACTGGTTAAGAGGAATTATTAAAACAAGAGAACTAAAGCCTTCCAGCTTTTAATTCTCAGAAGAAGCATTTATTAGAAAATTAGCATGCTGCGTAGAAGAGGGGGCAGAGCACCAAACCAGTCTGCATCAGCTTCCAGATAGTACATGAGGAAGCAAGAAGAAAGCAACATAAATCCCATCTGGCCACCATCCTAACAGTCAGGACTGAGGCCAGACAGTGGAGAAAAAAAAAAAAAAAAAGCGACATATGCACGGCAGCAGAATGTTTAGAGAATGAGAACAGGAGAAAAATAAGATACGTTTGTCTGATTTCAGACAAGGTTTAAAGGAAAAACATTTTTTCCTTATAAATAATGCAAGAAAGTCCTTAAAATTATAGGCAAGAAGCACAAACTGTTTTCAGTCTGTGTGTGTTAGGAAAATGGTAACAATGAGCTTAAGACATCAGTTAAATTCTTGCTGATTTTAGCTAGGCTATATGAACATGAGCACATCCCACAAATGGCACAGACGACAAAGCACTCCAGAAAACGTGAGCAAGCTGTTACTACATGCACAACTCTTGTTCTCACACTGTGAAGCCTCGATCCACACAGGACAGATCAACAAGGAATCTTACCTCAAGATCTTGAAAGCCCAGTTGTGCTGCTCAGCACACACACATTCACTCAGGATCACTTACCATATAGCCCCAGTCTCCATTATCCATCTGTTCAGTTGCTGAACCACGGTACTCCAAGTTGAACAGAAGGTTATTGAGAGATTGCAGTCCACCTCCTATTAGCTCCCTGCAGAAAAAAGCACACACACAAAAAAAAAAAAAAAACACATGGCAGGCTGTTCAGTACCTACAAGAACCACCAAAGGTGGTTTTCTAATCAAAGGCAGACTCTCTGCCAGGACAGCATGCAGCCATAAAGCCATATTAGCAGAAGAACAAATGAGCTTTTCCCTGCATCTCCCTCTGCACTACCCAGAGCACTGCCCCCTGAGCACATGGTAAGCACTCTGCTGGCTGTTCTGACCACCCAGACTTGTTAAATAACAGCATGTACCTCTGAGGATAAATTCTGTTTACAGACTACTTCTCATCAGGAAAACTTCAAGTCCTTTGAAGGACGGGCATCTTTTTCTCAATTAACAAAGTTCATTTATTCACCACTGAGGTAACACGCACAACCCATTAACATCAGCCAAAATTCCCATGCTCCTCTTTCAAACTGCGCAGAATAAATCAAGCACAAAAGTCAATGAACAGCAGGAAAATGAATTCTCACTGCAGAATTAATAATTCAGTAGTGGAGAACTGCAATTGATAACAAGAACTTTAATCTACAAAGGAAGAGTACGAACGGACTTCACAGACACAAACATGCTCCCGAAACAGACCTCCTTAGGGACGAGCAAGAGGACAGCAAACGTGCTTTCAATGATGCTCCAACAAAAGCAATCTGAGCAGTGGATCACGCTGCAACTTCCCAGAAGATGTGGAACCACCAGCTTGCATAACAGGGGCAGGGGCTGCACACAAGCGTTGCAAGGGAAACCCACAGCCCAGCTTATGCAACCCGAGGGGAAAAAGGTATGAGTGACCCCCGACACAGCTGAGGCCTTCCAGAGGTGCCCTGCTGCCCATGGATAGAGAAGGCAGCAAGCCTGTATTCCCTACCCATAATCTGCATCTCTGCTACAACTGCTGGAAATTTAGGTCAGCCTGTTTTAAGTAGGGTGCAGCTTCTCAGTTTTGTTTATTTTTACATCTTAAAGACAACACAGCTACTGAGGCTTCTGCTCCCAGCCTCAGTGCTGGCAAACTTCAATGCACCATCCCTCAGCTAAAAGGAGCTGGGAGATTTAAGCCAAGACAGAGTCCTGCTTTCTCAAGCACCAGCTAATTCCCAGCCAAAAAATGACTCTTCCTTCTCATTCCCTGCAAACAAGGTTGGTATCATTCACCACAGAGCAACACAGCAGATCCATCTCCGGGCTCTGCTATCCCGCCCAAAGCCAAAGCCAGGGCTCAGCAGCTCCCAGAAGCCAGGCCCTTGGGAGCCAGCAGTGTGAGCACAGCCTCAGTGGTACCTGAGATGTATTAAGAGAAGAAAACACAAAATCCCTGTATGAAAATTATGAGGTCAGACAACAGAAGCCTATGGAATTAAGACACAGAACGAGTCAAACCAGGATCTTACTTTCACAAGTGAGAGATGCAGCATGCCTGAAGAAAGCATATTAAATCACACACCCCCTAACAGCAGATAAACCTGGAATGCTAGCTCTTTTGCCAACATCTGTAGTTGTTCTGTTAACTGCTGACAAATGAAGAAGTGAAGTCATTCGGGTTTTCTCCATTTTGACTTGTCAGTCAGGTACAGATCATCACCTGTTACCAGTAGTTGAGATCCCTTCGACTCCAGTTGCTTTGTGTTTTTTTCCTTAAGGAACAGGTACTTGCAGCTGTCCCCCTGCTCAAGTACAGCACCAGCATAGCATGCAGACACATTAAAACCACTGGATAGACTGCCTAGGGTTCTGACATGCAAGAAAAACATTCACTTGAAGAGGAAATAATGCAGCTGGCCAGAAATGTCACTGGCAATCACAATATAAGAGATCAATTTTTATAAACTTAACAGGATCTTCACACTCAGAATACTCCAAAGGTAGGTAGATGTCCATCAGTTACTTGAACACACGGAATGACACTTTGTTATTCTGGCCAATATCTAAGCCTCTATATGGATTAATCTGGACTTTCCCCCACTCCATGCCTGTTCAGGGGAAGAAACAGACTACATTGCCTGTCCATTCGATGGCATGAACTCATCTTTGATCACAACACTGCTATGTAGCAGCACAATGAATAATTTACGAGAGCAATCAGCAGAAACTAACCCAGCCCTCAACACAGAAATGCAGCAAGAAGTCTCACTGACCTTTGTGTAAGAGTCCAGACTCCTACACAGACCTACCTGGCAACGCTCACAGTGCACCAAGAAGCACAGCACACAAGGTGCTATGAGGAGGCCATCCCAAAACACCTGGATGCGATCACAGCTACCTGCTGCTTCCCTGGCCAGCCTGGCAGCACCAAATTTCTAGACAACTTCAAAGGCAAAAATAGCTCTGTTCAGGTACAACCAGAGATAAAGACTAGCAAACCACATCATAACAAGGGTGGGGAAATGGGCCCTTAACAATGTGCCTTTCAACAATGCTCCAAATTCTTCCTGAATGAAAGTTTGTGACGCAGGAGGACGCAGAACCTCACTCCATCTATACTCCAGGACAGACAGCCTCAAGCCAGCGACAGTCCATGTCACACAATATGCATCACCCAGGTACAGAACCTCAGCAGCACAGCTACTTGTGTCCAGGCAGCAAAGAACAGGTGATGTGCAGATGCAGCCCAAGACAAATTGCCTTTAAGGCTGTAAGAAATGCTCACCTAAAACAATTCTCAGCCAGACCAACTTCTGACACCATTTAAGCAAAACAGGACATCATTCTCTGGTGAGAACACAAGCACACCAACGGACTCACATCCAGTCCTACTTTCACCAAGCTTTTCCTGTCAGCAGGGAGAAGATCTACAGCTGCCACCATAGCCCAAGTACATCCAGAACGAGGAAGGAACAATAAGAGACAAGTACCTTTGAAGAAAAACACCGAAGTCACCATTTTGTAATAAATACACCAAATTGGATACCTGCATTTATAAAACACTCACTCTTACTTAATATTTGATGACTCAGAAGATTACAAGACTATTTACTAGCAAGGTTACTGCAACAGGTAGTCTCATTAACTTCAGCAGGGCTTCTCCCAGGTAGCTACTAACATGCAACCATTTTGCAAGCTGAAATTCACAGAAAGCAAATGAGGACAGAGACACACAGGACAGAGCCTGGGGATGCCAGCAGCAATGCCAAGCGTTTGCACTGCTGGGACTGCAAACAGCACACTTGGCCAAGGGCACAGACTGCACACACCGCACCTGGACAAAACCACAATGGTTGTTCAATGGTTGTACCATCCTGCACAGTCAGATGGAGGAGGAGAAACGCACCCAGCAGTCACAAGCCAAAAGGCAGATATCACCTGATCTGCTCTGAATGCTTTTCAGCTACCTTGCTTAAAGTGAAGGACACAGACTGTTTATTGTTTACACAAACTGTTTAGTCTCAATAGGTACTGAAGACTTCAAGGTCAATATAAAGTTGACAGGACTTCTAATAAGCTAGTCTGTTATTTATACAGATAAATACCTGTGGCTCAAGCTACTCTCCCACTTAGTGAGCTCACTGTCTCTGACATTTGGATCTCCAAAGATGAGAAAATGAAACTCCTGCTCTCAGCAGCTACACTGTAAATGGACAGCCTCTCTAATCCTGAGCCAGTCTTGAAATCCAAAGGCAAGTTTTTATTGTAAATCATTACTAATGACTCACCTGAATTGACAATACCTCAGCTAGTGTAATTAATGACTGTCCTCCACAGAACTGCAGAGCAAGGCAATAGTCTGCAGAGCAAACCCAAGGCCCTACAGTGCTGAGCTACCCCAAGCAACGAGCTATGTTATGGAAACAACTGGTTACCAAAACTTCCAGTAATACCACAGCTTGGCATGGCCGAAGGATGAATCCCTCACCTACACGCGTCAAGTCTACAATGATTAACACAGTTTATTAGAACGTAACTTCTCCTTACTTTCTCTGTTTCTTTTGGTTAATATTTCAGTCTTCACCTCAGGCAAGAGAGCAAAATACTAACAGTGGCCACTCAGCATTCTCACTCCTTTATGCCTAACTGCTACACTATGAATTCTAAGCTCTGAAAGTTTTTTTTCCCCACACCTGAGGAATTCTAAAATCCTGGTTTGGGTCTGGGTTCTACAGTGTCCACCAATCTGACAGATGCTTGAAAATCCCACCTCACTATTACCATTTGACCCTCTTCATGCAGGAGTCCAAAGACTGCAACTGCACCTGCCCTGCACCTGCTGGCCCTGCACTGCTGGAGCCACACAGACGCTCTGCACAGTGTCGATAGTTGGTTTTACCCACATATCTTGTTCTATGGCACCAATAGGCAGCTATCTGCATGGGGAAACCCATCCAAGCAGTGCTGGATAAAGGCAGGTGTCAGGAGCACAGAGCATCCCACACAGCCAACAAGGCTATCACAGGGACCAAGCAGCAGGACGGTGACAAGAATCCTCCTTTCATGCCCAGGCCCGCAGGAGGAGCTGGGAATAGGAGCTTTCCATGCCGGAGGAACGCACGGTAGGAAATCTCACTCTGAGATCGCAATGATTCAGCAAGGATGCTGGACACGACTGCACCGCTCCACTCGCTGCCCCCAAGTGCCCAGTGTCTGGATACAGCGCCTGAACAGCGCTCCCGGCCCCAGCCCGGCCCTCCTGCACCGAGGGGCAGCAGGAGCTGCCATGCCAGGTGCAGCACTCCACCCCGCGCAGCCCCCCCCCCCCGAGCTGAGGGCCGGGCCCCGCACCTGCCGCCCTGCCATAGAATCCCAAATGTGACCCGTGTACGCCGCAGCTCCGGGCACCCGCAGTCCCACGGGGGACACGGCCCCGCTTTCCCCCCACCCAGGGCGGGCTCTGGCCGCTCGCAGCCCCGCGTTTCCCCCCCCCCACCCACCCTCCCTCCCACAGAAGCGCGGCCCGTCCCCGCCCCTCCCCGCACTCACAGGCGCAGCTCCCGGCGCTGAGCAGAGCCCGGCGAGGATGGGGACGACTGA